CCCATGTGTCTGCCTCATTCACATAGGAAGTAGAGGTGAGCACTCTTCCATTTTACTTACCCATGTTATTCAGACAAGTTCTTCCCTTGCCTGGTTCTGATGACTGAAGCATGCTGGGCTAAGAGAAAAGTGCTTGAGATAGCAGAACATGGAGAATTAAATTGAGGAGGAAAAGATAAAATATTTATTTGTTCTAAACCACATATTCTTTTTTTATGCTTAATTTTTAAAAAAAGTTGCCACCAATATGCATACACACCTGCTTCTAACATGAATAGGGCATATGGTCTGCTAAACATAGTTCCTGCTGCCACATGTAGTTAGGCTCTTCAGGTGTCAGGTTTTGACATGAGACGAGATTTCCATGCAAGTTACACTGTCATGATAAGACTGTACCACTTCAAATAGTGAACTTTTTAATCGGCTCAAAGAGTCTTGTTGCTAAGCAACCAGACTGTCTATCAGGTGCTCCTGAGGAGATGAGTTGGTACCCCTAGCAGGGTCAATCCTTCCTCCAGAATAATCCATTTTCACCCACTGTGACACGTCACCTTCATGCACAATCTTCCATTTTATCCCATGGCTAAAAATAATTAAAAGTCAGTGGCTTTGGGTGACTCAAGGCAAGGAGGAAGCCATCCTTCTTTTTCAAAGGGGAAATCCAATTCCCTGGCTGTGCAGCTGGTGAGAGTCTGTCAGTCATGAACGCAGCATGTGTGAGAAGCTTTCACTCACACTCCCTAGAATATCTTTGGCTGCTTACACAAACTGGCAGGGTCTTTATCTTCAGGTTGTACATTCTTCTTGTCAACTTTTGTGTCTGGTCATTTTATGCACCCATCAGCCTGTCTCCAATTTTGACAGCATCTTGGACTAGTATCTTGATCCTAAACATTTCTATAGCTGTCTTTCCCTGCAACACTAGTGTAACATTATGGAAAGTGTGTATGTGTATGAGAGAGAGTACGTGTGTGCAAGAAACACTGCAAAGAGATATTTATCAGGCCATTCTATTACTGCTGCACCAGGTAACAGTGTCTTGTATACATATATCTCACTTGGTAAAAAGTTCTAATTGAATGTGAACTGTCAATGGTGTAGAATGCTATTGCATGGCTTTTCTGCCAAATATCATCTCAGATAATCAGATACTGAAATAATATTAGCTCAGTATTGACATTAATATCCATCTAAATGTCAGTCTGATTTCCAGTATTTATCATTTACTCTATATTTGATATCAAAATTCACAGAGAAAGATTTTACATGAACAGGGGGAATCACATTTAGTTAATCTCTTTGAGAAAGTCATTTCAGGCATTCTTAATGGCAAGATAGGTAAATACGAAAAGAGGGAACCATCTCACCTACTTCTTAAACACCAGTTTCCCTGTATTATCCAGCAAAATTAAGTTCTTGGGATAAAATTGAACTAGCTTTCTGGATCCTGAACTGACCCCTGAATTCTAAAATGCTTATTATGTAGTGAATGGTAAAGGTTAAAGGTAAAGGTTCCCCTTGATATTTAGTCCAGTCATGTCCAACTCTAGGGCACAGTGCTCATCTTCGTCTCCAAGCTGTAGAGCCAACATTTGTACACAGAGAGTTTCTGTGGTCACATGGCCAGCGCAACTAGACACGGAACACCAATACCTTCCCACCTTGGTGGTAACTATTTATCTACTCACATTTTGACATGCTTTCGAACGGCTAGGTTGGCAGGAGCTGGGACAAGTGACGGGAGATCACTCCGTTGCATGGATTCGATCTTACAACTGCTGGTCTTCTGACCTTAACTCACAGAGGCTTCTGTGGTTTAACTCGCAGCGCCACCACGTCCCTGCAGCGCTACCACATCCCAGAGTGAATGAGACTCATTCATATTTGCATTTTCTTTAGATCTATGAATATAAGAGAAACTGGTGTCTCTTTGGAATAAACAAGACGTATCTCCTTACAGATACATAAATATAAATGTGTTACTGAGTTGCTGGAGGCAAAACAATGAGCATGCATGAGATGTGACCTTTGTGAAGCAATCCCAGGGGGAACGTAGTCATTCTATCCCACACCAACGCACATCAGCTTAATACAAGTGATATAATGCAGGGTCCTTGGTTTAAAATAGCAAAGTACATTGAACACTCCAATACCTGGGTCATTTTATGTCAACAAGCACTTGTTAACTAACCTGGGACATTGCACCTGCTTAATAAAAATGAAATAACTTGTAAAGACTCAGACTGTCAAGATAGCTGTTCCCCAAATATCCCTGTCAACACATTACTTAAGAACTTCTGCTTAACTCTGAGCCTTTGAATGCTTCTGTTCAATGCAGTGGATCTATTCATTCACTTATGAGGCTTACTTTTTCTTTACAAATTCATACTACTGAAATTACCCCTACACTGAGGAGCTAAAGGGGCACCTTTAGCTACTACTTTTTTTGGCCAAAATTGTGAATTTCTCTAAGTCTCCTTACTAACATTGCTACCTCTGAGTGGGTGCCCACTGGAGGAGGCGGGGCTGGGAAGTCAGGGCAGCCACAGAATAGCTTTGCACCCAAAGGACTGAACTAACACGAACTGCCGAACCACAATTTGTGCTCTTCTCTATTGGCAACCAAATTCAGTGGATTCCAGTCACGTTTTGGCAGATAAGTATTAACTATAGTTTACAAGTTACAGAAATGGATATTAGGGGAGGACATTTATACATACTTCAAAAGGAGGAGGAGGACAATGAGGAGGAAAAAGAAGAAAATGAAGTTCATCACCAAAAAAGGGTGCATGTGTCCATATAATTTGTACATGCTAGTGTATACATATGAATGGAAATTTGGAAATAATTTGAATGGAAATACAATACCATTCCCAAAAGACCTGATCTGTGATTTGTGCATTTGGTTGGTCTGCCCCTGCTCTCTCTCTCTCTCTTTTATTTTTTTTACAGAGCCCTCTCTCTCTCTCTCTCTTTTCTTTTTTTTACAGAGCTTTAACTTTAAGGTGGACTTGAAGTGAGCACTCCATCAAATGGGGGCACTTTCAGACAGAGGACTTCCCCTCACAGCCTTTCAAATAGAGGATAGTCCTCTGTAATGTAGGTCACATTGCCAATGCAAAACTGTGGCACATATTAAACTTCAAACTAAAAGAGCAACACCTGAAAGAAAGGAAAAGGATGAATAGTATGCACACAACCGCACACAGATGTGGACATTAAACTTAATAAGTAGTTTCATTACCTGAGCTGGCTGGATAGTTCAGTGAGTTAGGTATCTGGCTGTGAAGCTAGAGGTTAAGATTTCAGTTCCACACTGGGCATCCAAGAAGAGCCAGTCTATGTGGCCTTGGGCAAGCTGCACAGGCCCAGGACACTGCAATAAAAAGGGAATGCTCAACCACTCCTGATGCAGGTTTGCTGCTCAAGAGACCAAACTTAAGATTTTAAGAATTATTGTTTTATTAGAAAAATAAAGTATTTAGAGATATTCAGTTTGTTGCAAAGCATAGCATTCAAGTACATTTCCATAAATCAAAGCAGTTAGAACTTTAGCAAATTCCAGCTATAAAAAGGAAATTTAAAAAACTCTAAAAATAGCTTGAAAGGTAGGCAAGGCATAGCCCCCCCTTTCTCTATCCTTACTCTGAACTACATTCTAGCATAATGCGAAAAAATAGCAATTGGAACTCAAAAATCCATCAAGGCAAAAATCCAACAAAAATCCCCTAAAATCCCAGTCCTTCCTCTGTCTAATTCTCCGTTTTTTCCATGCTGGAACCACCCTTCTTCTCCACTCTTCTGTGACGTAAACCAATCAGGGTGAAAGGCTGTCTCTTCACATTCCACTTCCATTTCCCATGGGATGTGCAGGTGTTGTTGACCATCTTCCTGATGTTGTGTCTTGACCCTTATCGTCTCTGGCCAAGCTTGCTTCATGGAAAATTCCAACTAGCTCTAAGAGAAAACAGCTTCTTGAAGCATCTAGTTATGCTAACACAGACCAATATGGATTCCTTCTACATAGATCCATGACTACAAATCCCATTCAGAAATTAGATTTTAGCCTTAATAAACCTAAACCATGACACTCAGTACCTAGAAAACCCTGAAAACGGTCACCATAAGTCAAAATAGACTTCATGGCACACAATTATATTTATTAATGTTCCATACTTGTAAGCCATTGAAGCAAAGGGGGGGGGGGACACAAGACTCCAACAAAATATTAGTCAGAACTCCTTATGGCAAAAGCTATTTGACAGTGCAAAAGATTACTGCAGCAGCAGGTGGATTCTTCTTTAGTGAACATTTCAAACAGCGATTGATGGCCATCTGTTAGGGATGTTTTGACTGTGTGTGCCTATGTTGACAGGCTGTTGGATTAGATGACCCTTGGAGCTTTTTCCAGGTCTATAGTTCTATGTATGGCTGGAATCTTTTTTTCAGTCAAACCCTTGTGCATAGCCCAAGTGGCTTGACATTTACCCACTATCACATGAAGGTACACAGTGCTTCTTTCCATGGGCAGAAAACCTGCAATTCTTGTGTTTAAATAACGAAGTAATCTAGGCATGCCCCATAGCAAGCAAAGAGATCCTACTTCACACGCCTGCAGAACTTTCCACTCTGCTGGCATTGAAGACAATGCCAGCCTAGGATTTTATGCTATTCCTTTTCCCACAGACATAATACTAAGTGTAGGTCTGTTTCATGACTAGCTGGGACCTGCAAGTGGATGAGTGTCCTACTCTGAAACCTTTGAGAAGGGAATATATTACACCAATTATTATTTTAAAAAAGAAACTGCATGGCAAATGCAAAATAGCCTTACTTAAATCTTACTCCATTATCTAGAGTGAGAGGCATAAGAGGAGAAGCCATCTTGTGTGAACCCCGATGACAGATTTTAGCCTTCATGCCTGCCGACAACACTGACTTTTTAATTAAAGAAGTGTTTTTTCATGGGCAGCCACATGGCCCCCTTAATGAGGCGTTGTAGCTCGAGTCACACAGGCGATATTAGCTAGACTTCTAGGGCTGGCTGAGCTAATAATTTCATATCCTAATACCCATCTGAGCAGCTGAGATGGTTTGCATTTTTTAAAGTCTTTCTACTGAGCCGGAATTAATGAGAGGGAAAAAAAGAGCTCCGAGCACAGTGAGGGAGTGACTGATTAGTTCTACTGCACAGCGACAACAGACCCTGTCATGGACGATGCCACTGACCTTTATTGAAACAGAACTGTATGTAAGAGATAAGAATATTTAACAACAATTAATGTCACATTGGTGTGTGGGGTGGGGGCAAAATGGCTCCATCAGAAATTCCTCAGCAGTTTGCTCAATGAGAAATGTCAGCCTCCTCTTCATATCGGCACCCTGCCTGTGATTCTGTAATTAGCAGGAAGGGAGGCCAAGGGGAATGGAAAGAGAAGGCCATCTGAAGAGATGGAGTGAATGAATAAAATGATATCTAGCTATAAAGCCGTCCGGGCTTGGTTATTTAAAAATCAAACTTTAAATGGAATTGACTGTTAGGCCCAGGGATAAATGGAGTATAGCCAATTACCTCCACCAGTCAAACGTGCGACAGGTGTGTTTCACCCCTCCTCTCTCTGTGGTTCTGGCATAATTAACATTAACAGATGGTTTCTTGTATTTAAGGCAGAACCCACTGAGGTTTGTCCACTGTGTGCGTGCTTTTGTGGGTTGAAAAGATCCTTGCCTGAGCTGAGTCTTTTTAACATGCTGATAAAAAGGGGGGGGGCGGAATAGATTTTTCCTGATGTGCTTACTGGAAGCAGTTCCTTACTAACATGCTTTCATTATCAGAGGCAGCAGGTAATGTGCCACCCCCACTTGAGAGAGAGAGAGAGAGAGAGAGAGAGAGAGAGCGCAATGGAGAATACATTGTATGTGCCTTTGTCTTAAAGCACTGTTTCCCAATCTGGGGGCTGTGACACCCAAGGGGTTGCAAAGTATTTTCTGGGGTTTGCAGGTCACCTTATATGTGTTGTAGCCCTTGTTAAATAATGTCTTCCTTGACCAGATATTAAAGTGAATGTGTATTGTATATGTGAGAAACATGCCCCTTGCGGGAGAAAGAAGCATCTACTTTCTGAGAAGGGATGACTTTGCCCTATTAAAAATGCCTTTTAATGCAAACATGGCAGGGGGGCGGGTGCCACAGATTTATTATATTATAAAAAGTGGTTGTGGCTTGAAAAAGATTGGGAAACACTGTTTAAAAGCTTGTCTTCTGATTACAGAGATATAGAAACTGAAAGAAAAAGATATTTGGAGGTTGTTAGGTACCAAAATTAATATTCCTTTAGCTCACCTGCCAAGTTGTGGTGGCTGTGGGAAAATTCTCAAGTACGGTACTGTTATTGGCTTCTCTCATAATTTTATAATCAGGCAAATCTCCAATTCTTGAGGTAGCTTTAGACCATTTTTGATTGGGAAGAAAGATAACAGCGACTAAAAGAGGGAGAGGAAGAGCAGAACATTACAAAAAGTGACCGTCCTTTTCTACAACTAGGGAAAAAAAAGAAAAATATCAGAAATATTCTCATTTAAAAAACCTGTTCTTCCCACTCATCTCTGTCTTTGATATTTATGGATGTTCATACTGCCCAACTGACAAAAGTCTTTTGAGCAGTAGATGATCATAAAAACCCAAGGCAGACAATAAGTAAACAGAAAAAAAACAAGGCCATAAATAAAACACCCCAAACAATCAGAGTCAAAACTTAAATATTAAATGCCTACCAAAAGAGAAACAGAGCTTAGCCTGTTGTCTAAATATATGTAATGGAGATGCCAACCAGATTGAACTATGGAGGGCATTTCTCACATGGGAGATACTGTAGAGCACAGTCTTTTTCTAATAGCCACTCACTGCGCCAGTGTGGGCAGCAGAACACAGAGTACAGAGTCTAAAGACAATCATAACCATTGGACTGGAACATATAAGGGAACACTTTTCTTCCTTGATCCCCATTCAGCGAGACGAGCAGAAGTAAAAAACAATAACGTTAAAATTTTCACACACATATTCAAACAAACAAATGAATCAACATAATGCTTTTTATTTCAATCGATTTTTTCCAAGCTCTGGCTGATCACAAGTCATATAGGGCTAACATGTCCAAATTTTCTATATTAATACAAACTACATTCCAAGTTTGTATGGGTGGGGGAATCATATGACAACTTCTACTACTGTACTTTAATTCCAGCAGTATTTATTTGGCCAAATCTAACAATTAAGTTTGGAAAACTCAGCAGTGGCCAGAGGACTGGAAAAGATCAGTCCACATCCCAATTCCATAGAAGGGCAGTGCCAAAGAATGCAGAACTCCCAGAAGTACAAGCTGGATTTCAAAGGGGCTGAGGAACTAGAGACCAAATTGCTAACATGCGCTGGATTATGGAGAAAGCCAGAGAGTTCCAGGAAAACATCTACTTCTGCTTCATTGATTATGCATGAGCATTTCACTGTGTGGACCACAGCAAACTATGGCAAGTTCGTAAAGAAATGGGAGTGCCTGACCACCTTACCTATTTTCTGAGAAATCTATATGTGGGCAGGAAGCAACAGTTAGAACTGGATATGGAACAACTGATTGGTTCAAAATTGGGAAAGGAGTACGACAAGGCTGTATATTGTCTCCCTGCTTATTTAACTTATATGCAGAATGCAAAAGGCAGGACTGGATGAATCCCAAACCGGGATTAAGATTGCTGGAAGAAATATCAACAACCTCAGATATGCAGAAGACACCATTCTGGTGGCAGAAAGTGAGGAGGAATTTAAAAAAACCTCTTAATGAGGGTGAAAGAGGAGAGTGTAAAAAACGGTCTGAAACTCAACATCAAAAAAATTAAGATCATGGCCACTGGTCCCATCACTTCCTGGCAAATCGAAGGGGAAGATAAGGAGGTGGTAACAGATTTGACTTTCTTGGGCTCCATGATCACTGCAGATGGTGACAGCAGCCATGAAATTAAAAGATGCCTGCTTCTTGGGAGGAAAGCAATGACAAACCTAGAAAAGCAGAGACATCACCTTGCCAACAAAAGTCTGAATAGTCAAAGGTATGGTTTTTCCTGTAGTGATGTATGTAAGTCAGAGCTGGACTATAAAGAAAGCTGACCGCCAAAGAATTGATGCTTTTGAATTGTGGTGATGGAGGAGGCTCTTGAGAGCCCCCTATCCATTCTGACGGGAATCAACCCTGAGTGCTCACTGGAAGGGCAGATCCTGAAGCTGAGGCTCCAATACTTTGGCCATCTCATGAGAAGAGAAGACTCCCTGGAAAAGACCCTGATGTCGGGAAAGTGTGAAGGCAAGAGGAGAAGGGGACGACAGAGGACGAGATGGTTGGACAGTGTCATCGAAACTCCGGGAGGCAGTGGAAGACAGGAGGGCCTGGCGTGTTCTGGTCCATGGGGTCACGAAGAGTCAGACATGATTTAACAACAACAAAAAATTAAAACAGGTTTCTTTTCTTTCAGCTGGATCTTTTCTGTTTTTCAAATTATTCAATGCGAATGATGTTGAGGCTCCACTGGGAAGTCTAAATTTGCAGTCCAGACAGTGTGAGAGTCTGAAGCTGCTAATTGGATTAAAAACACGTGCATATAATTACGGTCAGCAGAAACCTCTTTGCAGTTCACTCAGCTTTCCTGACCACAGCTTGTATAAACTGAAATGGAAAATGTATTCATTTCCACACAAGGCACTTATACCTTCATTCTGTTGTGCAGCTGCCAGCTGTTAATATTCAGCCACAGTTAATGGAGATAATGGCCTTTCCAGAGTTTACTTTCAGTGGATGGGCTTCCATGGGTGGAAATTGCAGTTTCTTCAAAACTGTAAGATGTGAGGTCTAATGTCAAGTTTTAAAACAGACATCACTGTTTTCCACATGCATATCAGAGGGCAGTACTTTGCTTTTAAAAAAAAAAAAAAGAGAGAGGCCAGCTCTCAAGCGTCCCTTGAATTTCTATCTGAAAGTTAGATAGCTTTTGTTGTCTCCATATTTATTTTCTCATTGATTTTGATGGCTCTATATTTTATTTTCTTATTATTTTATTTGTTATGTGTATACAGTACCCTGCCTTTCTATCACTCAGCTAAAGATGGTTGGCATAGGTGACCTCTCCTGCTGTAACTTCACAGCTTTCCTATTAGTTATATCAGACTGAAAGAGTGTGACTGGCCCCTGACCACCTACTGAATGCCATGGTCCAAGTCTTTTGACTCCTAATGCAACACTCCAATGACACTCGTTTTCTTTTTGGGACCCTTAGGTCAAGTAGCTCTGCCTCCTTGCTACCATCAGCATGCCTCCTTCATTGCTCTCTTCTTGAGCACCCAGTCTGCACCATTGCTAGACCTTGAAAGTACTTACATTCATATAATTAAAATTAATTGCAATCAGTAGGAATGAGTTATTCCATTGGAGATGTCCTCTGTATCAGCCATTCCCAACAGGGCACATTTGAAGGGGGGCACAGAATGGAATGATTATTCACCCATCATCTTATAAAGTTTGTTATGTGGCTTATACAATTCTGATCTGGCTTATATTTCTTTCATATTGTGTTTATATTGTGGCTGATAAAAGATTGAGAATAGCTGCTCTATACAGCCTCATGGGCATTGGAATAGCCCTCTCTGCAAACCTTTTTGAATCCCAGTAAGCAGCCTGGGAAGAGCATGAAGGCAGGAAAGGCTCCCCTGGAGCCCCCTTATTCCTTGTATCCCACTCCCAGAATTATACATAGGGGGATTCAAGCCAAGAGTGGTAGTTCTCAAAACCCAGAAGTCCAATCTCTAGCAATTAGCTCCTACAATATAGTTACAATAGATATTTGTTAACAGTGAGAGACACCATGACTCTTATGAGGTAACTGTAACCTTTTAGTTACTTGTATAGTCATGTGGGGTGGAACATTCAGTAGTGGTGGGAAAAATATGGTGTGGTAGTGCTGTGCCTCAGACCGCTGCCTTGTGTTTTGCAGTGAGTACTGAGACGATGAGGAGCTGAGTAGGAAGTACCACAGACCAGTGTGTGTTATGGCATTGTGAAAAGAAACTGCATATTATAAAAGGAAGGGAAGGAACTGTTTCAAAGCATTGTTGTTATAATATTAAACATGTTTTGGTGGCCTCTTAACGACAGTTATAACTAGAGATGGGCATGAACCACGAGTTCAGCCCTCGGGCTACACAG